TCCACAATGAAGTAATTTAACAGCAAGTGCATTGATTTCCATTTTCTCAAAATCTTCCTTATCAAATTCAGACATGGATTTAGGTACTACCTCGTTTTCACCAGTAGTTTTGGTAATTTCGAAATCACCAACTTCGATCACTCTCTTAACCTGGTAGTTGTCGGCTTTGATAAAAATCTCCATCCTGTTCTTCCAATAGGTGTAGAATTTTCCATTGAACATAGAAGGACGCTGCGTAGAGTAACCTTCTTCCAGTTTCTCGTGATTGTTCATCTTGATTCTAGGAACTTAACTCGTCAGGGTTTCCTGATTTCTTCGAGGAACCTGCTCTGATACCAATTGTTGACTCAAATGAACAATACAAGAGGGGGGGTGAATTGTATTGTTGAGGAACTAGGGTAATTTTTGCGGAATTCTTAAAGAAACTTAAACAAAAACTTTAAAGTGCAAGAGAGATTTAACGTGGAAAACTTCTTGGCCCTAATCAAGAGAAAAACCCACGACCACAAGGGATTTTAATCACAACTCTTAATAATAATAGGGCAAACAACCTTTTACAAATTAAGACTCTAAACTCAAGTTCCTCTACGAACTTAAGTTCCCCCTCAACTAATCCCTCAATCAGTTGAGCTCTCGAATCTCTTTCTTTCTCCTTGCTTCACTCAAAGAAATTTCACACTCTAGAGTTTACCCAAACTCTACCCCAATACAACTCAAGATAAAACTTCTAAGATGCTAAGTACAAAGACACTCAAGGACTTAAGTGGATTTTTGACTCTTTAAGAAAAGCTAAGAATCGTAATGCTCAAGTGTTTTTCAAAACAGAAAACTAATCCTATTTATACAGGAGGAAAGCAGTTGAAAACCTTACGTTTGCCTTAACTCCCACTACACCACAACTTCCATGAAATAAGGAAGTGCAGTTCGTGGATGCTTGGGCAGCAAGCTGAAGCACACAATAAGGAAGTGGTTCCTTTATTTTCTCAACCTCATTTACCAAGTAAAAGCCGTTTTAAAAATAGTTTTACCAAGTCAGATTTTCCAAAATGTTAGGATAAAATCAGAACAGAAAATCTTTTAATAAATAAGATATTTTTACTTAAAAGATATTTTTCCAAAAATATAAAATTAAATCTCGTTAAAGAAAGGAAAATAAAATCTTTATAAACTGAAATTAAATCCACTTAAATCCTATCAATTAACAATGTACTTAACATATATACAAGAAGCCTAAAATAAATAATAAAGATACAATAGACTCCTTGGAACACAGTGAAGCTTGAATCTGAAGCTTCAGTTCCTCACTCAAGGAACTTGGCTTCTGATTGTCTTTTATGTTCATCCACAGCTCATCCTTAGACCTTGTTCCATGCTCCGTTCTGACTCTAGAACTTCGTTGCATATAAGAACCTGTCAAGTACATCAAAGCTAATAGACAAAAGTTAAAGCCCTTATGGGTTTGCTTAGGTTCCTTGAGTCATCATCAAAACTTAAGATCAACAAACTGTTTCCCCGGGAATGGCGCCAAAATTTGACAGGCTCAATTCGTATTCACCTAATCAAAAATAAAACCTAAATCAACTAACTATGTAGATAGGGAAGAAGGGTCGGACCACAGGGAAACAAGTCAATTTATTCCTATTTTATTAAAAGCAATCTAAATTATCAAGTAACCAAATTATTATAAAAAGGGTAATTAAACTACTAGAAGTAAGAGTAGGAAGGAAATAAAATAAGAGATAAATCAATGAAGGAAAAACCTAGGGCATAGGTTCACCAATAAATAACATTCCAGGGTAAATCATAATAAGAAATTATCAATGCATCAATTAATCAGATTATAAAAATTCAAGGCAAGAGTTTTCCAGTCAGTATACCAAGTGCAATTCTATTAAAACCATTAAACCGTATTTTAACTTTGCCACATAATGAAAAGGGAAAAAGAATCTCCCTGATTTGGTCCTGCGTGACCCTGGTTTGTCTAATGGTGTTGCAATTTTTGCATAAATCTGCAATGTGAAGATTAGGATCTTCACCCTTAGCTCCACTAAATTGCTTCCTCTCTATCATGGTGATAAATTGGGGCTTGATTTCAAATTGCACTCCATCAAGGGCAGGAGTGGGATTAAGGTGTGGAAAATCTGTGAGCTTTGGCTGCGAGTAGTCACTAAGCTTCTTTTGAGCCGTCATCTCTTATTCTGGATCTGAAGGAATTTCTAAGTCACTAGAATCAGTTGGAGGATCTCTTCGATTATTGTCTTCCTTGGAACCCGCCAGGATTTGTCTATAAAGATTCCTTTGCCTATGAAACGAGCGCTCGATCTCAAGATCGAATGGAATGTAACCTAATCTGGAACACCTGGGCATAAACAAAGAACTAAAAGAAAAATATGAGAATTGCCTCAAAGAACTAACATTCTCTGAGACAAGAGGGGATAATCCAGACTAAAAAATAATAAGAAAATAAAAATAAAACTGTTTCCCCGACAACGGCGCAAAAATTTGACAGGCTCAAGTCGTATTCACCTAATCAAAAATAAAACCTAAATCCACTAACTATGTAGATAGGGAAGAAAGGTCGAACCACAGGGAAACAAGTCAATTTATTCCTAATAAATTAAAATCAATCTAAATTATCAAGTAACAAAATTATAACAAAAAGGGTAATTAAACTACAAGAAGTAAGAGTATGAAGGAAATAAAATAAGAGATAAATTAATGAAGGAAAAACCTAGGACATAGGTTCACCAATAAATAACATTCCAGGGTAAATCATAAAAAGCAATCATTAATGCATCAATTAATCAGATTATAAAGGGCTTTCGCTACGTATTACAATCACAGAGTTAATTTATCAGTATTAAATCTCATCTCACGAATCTCGACTTAACAATTTATAAATTAGTCCGCCTATTAAAACTAAGCCTAAACATCAATTCTCATCTCTCGAATCTCGAATCAATATTGCTAAACTCATACAATTAAATCCGGCCAAACCTAATTGCATAACATTAAATCAATCAATAGGAAAATAATTAAGCATTGGCAATCAACAATCACAAATTACCCCTTCATATTATTTATTGGATCCCCATAAACCCTATAAATAAAAATATTCACGCATAATTATATATAAACTAATCGAAACAATAAAATAAGACATGATGAAAGAATTAAAGAAAATAACTGAAATTAAAAGAGAAGAAATTGTTACCAAAAGTAATCTGAATTAAGGAATGGAATTAAGAACAAAGTTGAGAGAATTTTAGAGAGAGAAAATATTCTAAGTAGAGAGAGAAAGTCTAAAAGAGAAGGTCAATCAAAATTACATACAAAAATCGTATTTTAACATCTCTAAAACAAATCCTAATTCAGAACTAAGATCTCGACAATCAGGTGCCTCCAAAAACGCGCGCCCGATCGGGCCCGCCTTTTTCTTCAAGGTTCTCCTGGGCAGTCGAGCCCAATCGAGCTAATGCTCGCCCGATCGGGCGCGCCTTTTGCTAATGCCTTCTTCTGCGCGCCCGCCCGATCGGGCGCAAGCTTGCCTAATCGGGCCCGGTCTCTTTCTCGAGGCTTGGACTTCAATTAGGCTTGATTCTTCGGCCCAATCCGGAGTTCCTCTTCGGATCTTGAATACTCGGTCCAAATGCCCCGGTATCACACACCGAGCCCTTAATCACCGGCTCTAACCGGTCCTGGGCTTCAAAGATGGTCGTGTCCTCTTAATGTTCGTAGTTGCTCCACGAAAAAGCCGGAAAACGCTCCAAATGTGCAATTTCCTACAAAACTCAAGCAAAACTACAAAAACACTAGAAAACACCAATTAGTAATAAAAGTGGCTCTAAAGAGCCAAAAACACTATTAATTATGACAAAGGGACGGGGGTAAATCACTATATAAATTGGACACATCACTTATTTGGAGAGGGCGTCCGCTTGATGATTGGACGAACCGGGCACTTGTTGCAGTGTAAAATGTTCAAGGCTCTCAGCCTCTTCTTTGACTTTCTTCAAATATTTCATCATGGCCGGCTCCCTTGCTTCAAAGTCACCATTCACTTGGCCGACTATTAGCTGGGTGTCCGAGCTCATATCGATCTTTGTTGCTCCTGCCGCCTTACACATTCTGAGGCCGACCAGGAGAGCTTCGAGCTCAGCCTCATTATTAGAGGCTTGGAATTAAAATCTCAGCGCATATTCAAACCTATCTCCTTCGGGGGATTGATAGATAATTCCAGCACCGCATTCGGTTGTTGTTGCACTTCCGCCCACATAAACCTGCCATATCTGATCCCTGGCCGAATGTACGTCCAACCTATTCATTTTTGCCAAAAAATCAGCAATGGCTTGACCCTTGATTACTTTTCTGGGTTCGAATGTGATGTCAAAACCCCTAAACTCGAAGGCCCACTTAAGCATTCGGCCACTAGCTTCCAAGGTTACAAACAGCTTCTTAACAAGAACTACATTGGCTACCCAATCTTTATAGTAACATTGTCTAAATAACTCGGCATCCAACATCTTTTGCACTTCAGGTGCGCCCTCCTAATTCCTTTCTTCCCCGCGATTCCATTTCTTCTGACGGACAGGCGTAATAAACGGGTTAACAGATAACTTATGCACAGCCAGGTCTGGGCTAATACCCGGCATTTCACTTACTTCAAATGCAAACACATCTTTGATTTCTCTTAGCAGCTTAACTAGGTCGTCCCCGAGCAGTTGTACGGCTATAGTGCCTACCTTGACCATCCGATAAGGCTGGTCCAGATCCAGCACTATATCCTAGTGATCGTCGACCGACTGGGGCCTTAACTCTTCTGGCCGGCCAACGGTCATTAATTTCTATGCTTGCTCTTTCTTGGTCGCCTTTCTCTTTTGGCCGACCTAGTGTGCTTAGAGTGACCCTTCATCTGAGTATGGCTCGGACGACTTTGCTCGCCCACGAATAGTCGGTTTCACAACCAAATGATTACATTCTTTTGCCACTTTCTGACTTCTCTAGATCGAGCCAATCTGCCCGTCCAATCTTTCAAACTTCATCAGCATAAGGTGTGGCACAATAACTGCCTTGGTTGCGGTCAAGGTGGGTCGGCCGAGTATGACGTTGTAGCGTGTTAGCTCTTTGACCACTAGGAAGCGGACCACCATGTCCCTTCCTACCCTTTTCTTCCCTAGCCAGACCGGCAAGTCAATTTGTCCGGCCCGGTGAATAACTGTCCCTCCAAACCAAACCAACGGGTGAGAAACATCCTTCAGATCATCTTCTGGGAATTTGAAAATTTTCAAACAGGAGAGGCTGATGATATCGGACGAGCTACCCGTATCAATCAGTATCCTCTTAATCTTCAAATTGGCTATCTTCAGAACAAATACCATCATATCATTATGCAAGGCCTTGACCTCTCCTCGGTCGGCCTCACTCACCGTTACCTCTGGGAAAGGCTCAGCCTTAACCCTTTCGGTATGCATTACTTCCTTTCTCAAATTCCATGTACATGGTCGGGCCGCCTGCAGCGAAATCGCCTGATATGACAGCCACAAAACCAGAGTATGTGTTGTTTCCATCTTTTTCCTTCTCACTTTGATTTTTCTTCTCAGACTTATTGTCTGTCCAAGTGTACGTGAACTTTGACTTCATCACGTACGAATTGAGCATGCCCTTCTCGGCCAGCTCGTCTAGCAACTTCTTCAAATTGTTGCACTCGTTTGTGTCATGTCCCAAATCCTTGTGGTAGTGGCAGTACTTGTTTTTGTTTCTGTATTGGACCGAGCCTCTTATCGGCGCGGGATTCTCAAATTTGACCTTATCTTTGATCTCTATCAAAATTGAATAAGAATCTTTGTTAAACTCATACTGCAACTCGTACGCCTTTAGCTTTTTTGACTTGGCTTCTAGGTCATCAAATACCCCCGACTTCCTTTCTCTTGTTCTTTTCCTCTTTCTTTTTCCCAGCTGAGTCTTGCTGAGAAGATTGTTTCTTCTAAGCCCCCTTAGCCGATACTTTAGCTTTAGTTAGTGAACAGAAGTCTGCCGCCTCAATATAGGCTTCGGCTTCCCACAAAACGCCTGCGTATGTCCAAACCTTCTTGCAAAACAAGTCAAATTTGAAACCATTATACCTTAATCCCCGGAGAAATTCTGAATAGGCCATTTCATCCGGTAGATTATGAATTTGGGCTTTTTCTTTATTAAATCTCTGGACGTACGAACGCAAACCTTCATTCTTACCCTGAACAATCATAGCCAAATTAAGGCTAGTCTTCCTTGGCATGATATTGTATGAAAAATTTCCAACAAACATCATGCTTAAAGTAGTAAAGCAGTTGATGCATCCGGCCGGCAGGCTGTTAAACCAGTCCTGCGCCACACCCTTCAGGGTGGCCGGGAAGCACCTGCACCAAGTGGCATCATCCACACATTGCAAGTACATAAGATTATGATACGCAGTGACGTGCTCTTCTGGGTTGCCCGTACCATCATAGGCACCCACAAGTACACTTTTCACTTTTGTGGGCTAAGGAATGTTGAGGATCTCTTGATAAAACAGAGGCGGCTTCTCTCCAAGGTTTAGCACGCGTATCTGCCACTCAATGGGCTGTGGCTGAGCAATTGGTCCGGCTAGGCAAGCAGCCTGGTCGAACAGCTGGTCGAACTGCCCAAACTGTCCAAAGACAGGAGGGTTAGTCGGCGGAAAAGTGTTAAAATTCTAGAGAGGCAAATATTGAAACGCGTGCACTGGTGCAATTGGAACTGGCGTTTAAGTCCGATGAGCTTGACTCCCACTGGTCCTGGTCGTGCTGGTACGCTTGGAGGAGGTATGGTTTGAGAAATCCTCCGGCATTGAGGGGGTAGATGTTGTGTCCGAATAGGCTATTTGTTCACGCTGCTTGTGCCGGAGGTAATCTCTAGAATCCTTCCAAAGCCTAGACGACTCAGTAATCTCTTTATGAGGTCGTCTGGCCTGCCCCCTAGCCGACTGCGATTTGTCAAGGGGCCGAGACTTATCTGCCCTTGGCACCCTCGGCACAAGCTCATGCCGGCGGTATGGGGTATTCCCAACATCTTTGGCATTGGTTGCTTTGCTCTGGGTTTTCTTTTGTTGGCCCTCTCCATCTCTCCTAGGTGACTGCCTAGAAGAAGACAGCCGATTACCCTCCACTTCCTTCCAGAGGTTGTTTAAAGCAACCAAGAGTGAACTAGTAGTTACTAGGCGGTCCTCTGCCTCTTGGAATGAAGCGATCAGAGGGTCGCTACAATGAATTACTATGTTCTCAACAAAGGCGTCCTCGCCGGGGCAAGGGTCGGCACCTAGTGTCTGGCCATCCAGGCGCAAAATGTTTTCGGTGATTTTTGGAATTCCCTTGGGATACTGGTCAAGCTCTGATATGGCAACGAGACGCGGACACGTGCAAAACACAAATCTCTGGTTGTCAGAGATTTTCCTCCAACGATCAAGTTAGTGACCGAAAACGGAATAAATGTAGAGAGAGAAAGTAGAGAAAAGTTTGAGCTTTTAGTGCTCTCACTACAAGAAAAACGGGTTTGGGCGACGGGTTTTATTAGTATGGGCAACGAAATATGTTTTCGTTGCCCAAAAATGTTAAGATGGGCTTCTAATCCAATTTCGTTGCCCAAATCTTTATTTTGGGCGACGAAATACAATTCCGTAGCCCAATATTACTTTTGTGCAACGAGTACATATATATGGGCTACCAATTTATTTTTCGTTGCCCAAATTTAATAACGACGACGAATTAATTTAATTCTACAGTCGCCCAAAACTTAAAAATAAGGCGGAAATTTTAATTTTTATTTTGTAATTTCCCACGTTCACAAATTAGTATACGGTTCTCTCGCGGTTTTTCCCAAACTAATGAACTCTTAATTAATCAGGATTTCAACTCCCACCTCACCTCTAATTCAATCTTCTCCCTAAAACCCTCGTACTCTACCTCTAATTGCATAATCTTCTCCTCAATTCAGGTTTTCTTCGGTAGCCGCTCCGATCTAGTCTGGTTCTCTTCGACGCGTCACACAAAATCTTACACTACACTCGCATCTATAGATTATCTATTCAGGTAATTCGCATCTACAAATTCGTTTTTTTTTTTAACATTTTTGGGTGAAATTTGGTCTTTGAATTGATATAATCTACTATGTGAGTCGATTGATTTAACATGCAAGAAATCCCATTTTATTTGTCGAATTATTCAAAATTTGAGCATTTTTATAGAAGTCGATTGATTAATCAATTAATCCTATTAACAATGGTTTTGGTTCATTGTTTATTCTCTTTAAATTTTGTTGCGATTCTGTGATTTTGGTTCAGATATGTTTAGTTTCTTCCTAATTTTGTAGTAAATTGTACTGTTGTTTTATTTACAATTTTATTGTGATTTTTATTGAGAATTTTTTACAATTTTAGTTGATTGATTATACTTTATATCTAGGCAATACTTAAAATGATCATTACATGTATTTGACATAATCAGATTAATATTTGCATACATAATATTCATTCTATTGGACATATCTTGGGATTTTTCTCATACAGTGGGTCTAATTTAAAGTATTAAAAGAAAAGATGGATAACTTGACTACCTACACAATCTACCTAAATTTTGATACTTAAAAATGGAATGAGATTGATGTAATTGAGGTGTCTTTGCCTAAAAATTGAGCTGCTGCCTGTTAAGAATCTTTAAACTATACAATCTCATTCCAGTTAAAACTATAACTTAAAAACCATATTAATATTTGCATTGATAATTAGGTATCTTACATCTAGAGGGTTCAAAAGATCTATTTCCCTTTAATTCAGACATCTTTATACTAGGCACTAAACCAAAATTATAATATTCAATTAGAAATGCCTTAAGAAACATTAAATTGGCAGGTCATCATTCCATAAGATTTAGTATTAGTTAGTCTAAAGTCTAAACTTTAACAGACCAACATAAATAATGCAAATAATAAAGTTTCAAGTTTAACTTGAAGTTCCTATTATATTAAAAATTAAAACCTCCAAATTTTTCATCACTTGTTTTGGTATGTTTGTTTTTGTGATGAATTTGATGATGTAAGATTTTCTTGTTCACACGGTTAATAGCTAAACTATCTAATGTGATCATTTTTTTTGTCGCTAATGTTTTTTTTAATTATTGTTTGTAAGAATGAATATGGATCGAAGTTGGATGAATCATAATGGTGTAAAGGATAGACAAAAAAGGAGTACATAGCGGGTGTTAATGAATTTCTACGGTTTGCTTTTAGGGGAATAAGTGGCGAAACAATGTTGAAATGTCCTTGTCTTAACTTTAGATTGGTTATGTCACAAACTCGAAAAAATATGCTATGTCATTTGCTAGTATATGGCATTGACCGTAGTTGCAACCCATGGTTGAGTCACGGAGAAAGTGTAGAGCAAATTGATAAAAATAAAGATCAAGGGTATGTAGGAGAGGTTTCAGATAATGAGAGTGAGGATCGTCCTTTTGATGACATGGCTCCATTTGTTTTCGATGCGACGAGCGCGTGGAATTATATAAACTCTACATCAATCAATGAAAATGAAAGAACCACAGATATAAGATCAAGTAGTGGCACTAGTGAAACTCCTATGTTGCTCCAAAAATTAATGGAGGATATGGAGGCTAACTTGTATCCGGGATGTAAAACATTTAAGAGATTGGAGTTTATTATGTCATTGTTGCACATTAAAGTTAGCAACAAGTGGAGTGATAAGCCTTTTTAAATGTTATTGAATGCATTGCATAGGGCGTTTAATTATGATAACAATTTGCCTTCAATCTCTTATGACGCAAAAAAATATACCAAAGCGCTAGGGTTAGATTATGTTAAGATTGATGCATGTGTCAACCATTGTGTTTTATTTAGAAAGGAGTTTGCAAATGAAGTTAAATGTCCTAAGTGTTCAGCACCTAGATGGAAGCAGGATATTTCTCAAGATGATGATAATTCAGATGAAGATGAGGGTGTCCATAGAAAAACACGAGTTCCTCAATTAGTCTTGCGCCATTTTCCACTTATTCCAAGGCTCCAAAGGATGTTCATGTTCTCCAAGCTAGCAATGCACATGCGGTGGAATAATAAAGGACATGCTGGTGATAATGACGACGGTATTATGAGACACCCAAGAGATTCAAAATCGTGGAAGTCTTTAGATGAGCTATATCCCGAATTTGCTGCAGATGCACGTAATGTACGCTTGGCTTTATCTAGTGATGGGTTCAATCCCGGGGCGAACATGAGTAGCAGATATAACATATGGCCTGTTATGTTAGTACCTTATAATTTACCTCCTTGGATGTGCATGAAAAGTGACAACATGATGTTGTCATTATTAATTCCCGACCCTAAATCTCCTGGTAATGACATAGATTTTTATTTTTCAACCTTTGATAGATGAGTTGAAGGAATTATGGGGAGATTGGGGTACAAACTTTTG